ATGTATAAATAATATCATACTAAGGTATGTGTCCTAAAAATGTATAAATAATATCATACTATATTATGTGTCCTAAAAATGTATAAATAATATCATACTTTAGTATGTGTCCAAAAAATGTAAAAATAATATCATACTATAGTATGTGTCCTAAAAATGTATAAATAATATCATACTACAGTATGTGTCCTAAAAATGTATAAACAATATCATACTAAGGTATGTGTCCTAAAAATGTATAAATAATATCATACTAAGGTATGTGTCCTAAAAATGTATAAATAATATCATACTATATTATGTGTCCTAAAAATGTATAAATAATATCATACTAAGGTATGTGTCCTAAAAATGTATAAATAATATCAAACTATAGTATGTGTCCTAAAAATGTATAAATAATATCATACTTTAGTATGTGTCCAAAAAATGTAAAAATAATATCATACTATAGTATGTGTCCTCAAAATTTATAAATAATATCATACTATAGTATGTGTCCTAAAAAATGTAAAAAATAATTGCATACTATAGTATGTGTCCTAAAAATGTATAAATAATGACATACTACAGTATGTGTCCTAAAAATGTATAAATAATATCATACTAAGGTATGTGTCCTTAAAATGTATAAATAATATCATACTATAGTATGTGTCCTAAAAATGTATAAACAATATCAAACTTTAGTATGTGTCCAAAAAGTGTAAAAATAATATCATACTATAGTATGTGTCCTAAAAATGTATAAATAATATCATACTATAGTATTTGTCCTAAAAATTTATAAATAATATAATACTAAGGTATGTGTCCTAAAAATGTATACATAATATCATACTAAGGTGTGTGTCCTAAAGATGTATAAATAATATCATACTATATTATGTGTCCTTAAAATCTATAAATAATATCATACTTTAGTATGTGTCCAAAAAATGTAAAATTAATATCATACTATAGTATGTGTCCTAAAAATGTATAAATTATTTAATACTATAGTATGTGTCCTAAAAATGTAAAAATAATTGCATACTATAGTATGTGTCCAAAAAATGTATAAATAATATCATACTACAGTATGTGTCCTAAAAATGTATAAATAATATCATACTATAGTATGTGTCCTAAAAATGTATAAATAATATCATATTATAGTATGTGTCCTAAAAAATGTAAAAATAATTGCATACTATAGTATGTGTCCTAAAATGTATAAATAATATCATACTTCAGTATGTGTCCTAAAAATGTATAAATAATATCATACTAAGGTATGTGTCCTAAAAATGTATAAATAATATCATACTATAGTATGTGTCCTAAAAATTTATAAATAATGTCATACTTTAGTATGTGTCCAAAAAATGTAAAAATAATATCATACTATAGTATGTGTCCTAAAAATGTATAAATAATATCATACTATAATATGTGTCCTAAAAAATGTAAAAATAATTGCATACTATAGTATTTGTCCTAAAAATGTATAAATTATTTAATATTGTAGTATGTGTCCTAAAAATGTAAAAATAATTGCATACTATAGTATGTGTCCTAAAAATGTATAAATAATATGTTACTACAGTATGTGTCCTAAAATATATAAATAATATCATACTAAGGTATGTGTCCTAAAAATGTATAAATAATATCATACTAAGGTATGTGTCCTAAAAATGTATAAATAATATCATACTATAGTATGTGTCCTAAAAATGTATAAATAATATCATACTTTAGTATGTGTCCAAAAAATGTATAAATAATATCATACTATAGTATGTGTCCTAAAAATGTATAAATAATATCATATTATAGTATGTGTCCTAAAAAATGTAAAAATAATTGCATACTATAGTATGTGTCCTAAAAATGTGTAAAAAAATATCATACTACAGTATGTGTCCTAAAAATGTATAAATAATATCATACTAAGGTATGTGTCCTAAAAATGTATAAATAATATCATACTATAGTATGTGTCTTAAAAAATCTAAAAATAATTGCATACTATAGTATTTGTCCTAAACATGTATAAATAATATAATACTAAGGTATGTGTCCTAAAAATGTATAAATAATATCATACTAAGGTATGTGTCCTAAAAATGTATAAATAATATCATACTATATTATGTGTCCTAAAAATGTATAAATAATATCATACTTTATTATGTGTTCAAAAAATGTATAAATAATATCATACTTTAGTATGTGTCCAAAAAATGTATAAATAATATCATACTATAGTATGTGTCCTAAAAATGTATAAATAATATCATACTATAGTATGTGTCCTAAAAAATGTAAAAATAATTGCATACTATAGTATGTGTCCTAAAAATGTATAAAAAATATCATACTACAGTATATGTCCTAAAAATGTATAAATAATATCATACTAAGGTATGTGTCCTAAAAATGTATAAATAATATCATACTATAGTATGTGTCCTAAAAATGTATAAATAATATCATACTATAGTATGTGTCTTAAAAATGTAAAAATAATTGCATACTATAGTATTTGTCCTAAACATGTATAAATAATATAATACTAAGGTATGTGTCCTAAAAATGTATAAATAATATCATACTAAGGTATGTGTCCTAAAAATGTATAAATAATATCATACTATATTATGTGTCCTAAAAATGTATAAATAATATCATACTTTAGTATGTGTCCAAAAAATGTAAAAATAATATCATACTATAGTATGTGTCCTAAAAATGTATAAATAATATCATACTACAGTATGTGTCCTAAAAATGTATAAACAATATCATACTAAGGTATGTGTCCTAAAAATGTATAAATAATATCATACTAAGGTATGTGTCCTAAAAATGTATAAATAATATCATACTATATTATGTGTCCTAAAAATGTATAAATAATATCATACTAAGGTATGTGTCCTAAAAATGTATAAATAATATCAAACTATAGTATGTGTCCTAAAAATGTATAAATAATATCATACTTTAGTATGTGTCCAAAAAATGTAAAAATAATATCATACTATAGTATGTGTCCTCAAAATTTATAAATAATATCATACTATAGTATGTGTCCTAAAAAATGTAAAAAATAATTGTATACTATAGTATGTGTCCTAAAAATGTATAAATAATGACATACTACAGTATGTGTCCTAAAAATGTATAAATAATATCATACTAAGGTATGTGTCCTTAAAATGTATAAATAATATCATACTATAGTATGTGTCCTAAAAATGTATAAACAATATCAAACTTTAGTATGTGTCCAAAAAGTGTAAAAATAATATCATACTATAGTATGTGTCCTAAAAATGTATAAATAATATCATACTATAGTATTTGTCCTAAAAATTTATAAATAATATAATACTAAGGTATGTGTCCTAAAAATGTATACATAATATCATACTAAGGTGTGTGTCCTAAAGATGTATAAATAATATCATACTATATTATGTGTCCTTAAAATCTATAAATAATATCATACTTTAGTATGTGTCCAAAAAATGTAAAATTAATATCATACTATAGTATGTGTCCTAAAAATGTATAAATTATTTAATACTATAGTATGTGTCCTAAAAATGTAAAAATAATTGCATACTATAGTATGTGTCCAAAAAATGTATAAATAATATCATACTACAGTATGTGTCCTAAAAATGTATAAATAATATCATACTATAGTATGTGTCCTAAAAATGTATAAATAATATCATATTATAGTATGTGTCCTAAAAAATGTAAAAATAATTGCATACTATAGTATGTGTCCTAAAAATGTATAAATAATATCATACTTCAGTATGTGTCCTAAAAATGTATAAATAATATCATACTAAGGTATGTGTCCTAAAAATGTATAAATAATATCATACTATAGTATGTGTCCTAAAAATTTATAAATAATGTCATACTTTAGTATGTGTCCAAAAAATGTAAAAATAATATCATACTATAGTATGTGTCCTAAAAATGTATAAATAATATCATACTATAATATGTGTCCTAAAAAATGTAAAAATAATTGCATACTATAGTATTTGTCCTAAAAATGTATAAATTATTTAATATTGTAGTATGTGTCCTAAAAATGTAAAAATAATTGCATACTATAGTATGTGTCCTAAAAATGTATAAATAATATGTTACTACAGTATGTGTCCTAAAATATATAAATAATATCATACTAAGGTATGTGTCCTAAAAATGTATAAATAATATCATACTAAGGTATGTGTCCTAAAAATGTATAAATAATATCATACTATAGTATGTGTCCTAAAAATGTATAAATAATATCATACTTTAGTATGTGTCCAAAAAATGTATAAATAATATCATACTATAGTATGTGTCCTAAAAATGTATAAATAATATCATATTATAGTATGTGTCCTAAAAAATGTAAAAATAATTGCATACTATAGTATGTGTCCTAAAAATGTATAAAAAAATATCATACTACAGTATGTGTCCTAAAAATGTATAAATAATATCATACTAAGGTATGTGTCCTAAAAATGTATAAATAATATCATACTATAGTATGTGTCTTAAAAAATCTAAAAATAATTGCATACTATAGTATTTGTCCTAAACATGTATAAATAATATAATACTAAGGTATGTGTCCTAAAAATGTATAAATAATATCATACTAAGGTATGTGTCCTAAAAATGTATAAATAATATCATACTATATTATGTGTCCTAAAAATGTATAAATAATATCATACTTTATTATGTGTTCAAAAAATGTAAAAATAATATCATACTATAGTATGTGTCCTAAAAATGTATAAATTATTTAATACTATAGTATGTGTCCTAAAAATGTAAAAATAATTGCATACTATAGTATTGTAGGAGCCAAAAAACAGTGTTCTGTGTACGTGCATTTTGACAAGATGTTTATCAGCCCAGCATCCTGTGTACGTGCACTTTCAACATCTTGATTGTCCAGCTGCTGTGTACGTGCAGTTTCAACATCTTGTTTTTCGGTCCAGTTTATGCAACTTCCAGTAAGTCTTGGCTTACTTTGACCATATTGGGTAATAAAACAGCATCCCATCATTTCCCGAAATCACGAGGGTGGGGGCCAGAAGAGTATAACCGATGCTGCGTGGTGTAGGAGACAGGGCTTTGCAGAAGGTTTCCAGCCGAGGCATTTAGATCGAGGCTGAAGGCTGTCCCCATGAAGTGTTGGTGATGTATTGCTGAATTGTACAAATAAAGCCCCACGCTGAGTTTGGACAAACTGTCTCTCTCTTGTTTTTGATAAGGAAAAAGAACCACATTTGGTGACCACGAAGGTGGAGAAGAGGCGTGCTCTTCGGATCGTTTCGCAGCCCACGGAATTTAAACTTCTGGGCCCTAGGTAAGAACAGTTTTTGTTCAATTTTGGAGTTATTCCGTGGACTGAGAACTGGTCTGAGAGACAAAAAAAACATGCCCTTCTCATAAATTAGAAGTTATAATAACAAGAAGAGGCATTTGTCCAGAACAGCGGTGATAAATATTCACACATGTGTGAAGTCAGCTGAGTCATTTTGATGACGGACAAAGTTTAAAGTGACAAATTAAAAGCTGGGACAGCGAGAATTGGAATAGAATTTGACAGCTGATAAAAAAGTCCAGGGAGGACAAGTAAAAAGGTCGACAATTGAGATCCAGTATGCCCCGGTGAGGCCGGGCTAAGATTGGGATCTGAGAAAAAGCGCTGAAGTTGTGACAGATAAGCTTGCCAGTAATTCGGTTGAATCCTCGAGGATTGGTAAATTTCATGCGTTGTTGGCAAAAGGCATGTGTTGAACTCATAGGAGCAGCGGAGAGGCTGCAAGGGAAACGACAGACCCGGGTGCTCGGGGAGACTGTCTATTGAGTTTTTTTTTTTGTGTGTGTGTGTGTGTGAAGACAAGCATGTGTGTGAGTGAGAACAGCTGTGTGTGAGGCGCCAGAGGTCAGAATGAGGAAAAAGGAAAAAAAGGAGAAGAACTAGGAGAAGCCTTAAAAACAGTGTAAATGGATTAGCAATATTCACTGCAGTGCTAAATTTTGATGTTTAATGTTATACAAATTTCAAAGTCTATGATCTTTTTCTGATTAGCCTTTGAACAGAAAACCAGAAGTTAAAATAATAATAATAAGTTTTTAGAGTGACATATATATAAATAAAAAATATATGCTGAAGTGCACAAGCATGATAACTATTTTTACCAGCTGGGTAATGTGAAATATGAGAAATATAGATTATGAGTAAAAATAATAATGTGTATGTGTGTTGCTGTTTGGCATGAAACGTTGTTCCAGTGTCAAATCGCTTTGAAGTGTGTTTTTTATCTCTATGCAAGTGTGAAAGCTTTGCTGTGTGTGGTTGTTTTACTCGTGAAAGTTCAAATACTCTGATCTTGTTTAAACTATTGCTTGGATAAATTAGAGAGAAACTGAATTTTCTTCTGCTGATTAGGGCTCAATTGTGGTTGACTTTTTCCTGTGTTGTAATGTTATAAAGCTGTATGAGAGTTGCTAAATTCTGAAGGCTGGGTGCGGTTGATGTCACCAGGGCTTGTTCGTTTCTCTGTACAGACATCCTTAGCGGTCAGACTCTCAGCTTAGACTGGGCAGAGAATCAGAATAGAAGTGTAAGCTCCACCCACCAGCTGTGAGTGCGTTAATCTCCTCACACACACAGACACAGAAGTACAGAGGCGATCCCGCCTCTGACTCCACCTCTGTGTGTGGATTGGTTGGTGAGCCGTAGGCGTAGAGAAACCCTACCCTGTGGGCTGAACATTGCTCACACACAGCTCGGACCAAGGATACGGCTATTTTTAGCCTGTCACACAAGCCTGACTCTGCAGGACAGAAGATTTGAGTCAGACTCATCTTGCAGCTTAACTGCTGGAGAAATAAATACATCAGGCATTAAGTTTTCTTTCAACAATAAATAAAGCTTTTGAACTAACTTTACTTTAGTGTTTAATCAGAAGAGATTTGAGTTCAAGGCATTTATAATAAGAAGATAAATTGTTGAACATTTGTGTAAACAAAACAATAGATTACGCAAGACTACAGCATCTTATGTCACCAGTATCTGTTTCAACTTTCAATTTTTGTTCAATTTTCAGGAGATCATAAATAAACAAACTAGTTTACTAATCAGAGGAATAGTAAGTGTTATTGAAACTGCAAAATGTCGGTCACGCCAGCAGGAATTTTGGGAGCGAAGAATCCAGCTTTAGCAAAAGAGATAAAGCACATGTCAGAGAAGTGGTCAAAACGGACGAGAAAACTATGCAATCCGTGGCCATCTGAAGGCACTTTTGACTTAGTGGCGTGTGATAATTTGGAATTGAGAATTCAGGATCATAAAGCAGATGGATTCAAGAAAAGACAGCAGAAAAGAGAAAAAGAAATTCAGATCCTGGACTTATTCAGGAATGAAGGAAAGATTTACAGACAGAACTTTAAACATGCCATTCTCAAAATGAAAGACAAATTGGACAAACCCCAGAAGGAAGTGAAGGCCCCAGCAGAAGAGGGCCTGTATCCCCTCTTGGGAACCGTTACAATTACGGGAGATTTTGATTTGCGCGACACATTCGACAAAGGTCCTAAGGGTTTAGATGTCGACAATGCAATTTTAAAATTAACAACATCACAGCAATCAGATGAAGCACCTGGCAAAGAAAAGCATGCAAAAGCAAGTGAGGAAAGAGAATTCGAACAAACAGCTCCACCTCGTGGAACGCATCCAAAATATTGCAGTACAGAACGTCGAGCGGTAAGTGAAGAAGGACGAAGGGAGATTGATTGTTTTGCAGAACATAAGGATTTTTTGAAAAGGCAGCCGAAGGCTAACTCATACTGGATAGACCTTGAGAACAAGGATGAGGATGTACATGATGAGCTAAACGATGTTGACCAAATTATACAGGACATATCTGAAGGCCTGCGGAAATCCTTAAATCACATCACAGGCACACATTCAGATGAGGTTAGTGAGAACACCACTAGCACAAGCAAGGAGAAAAATTTCAAGCCTTTTTACAAACCAGGCATTCACTCACCAGAGCGTGGTGATCCAAATACAGGTCTGACTCAAGAGAAGGAAAAACCAGGTCATAGCAATGAAAGCCGTGATCTGAGACCCAGACATGACTTAAAACCACCTATTCGATACACTAATGATGGTCAGTACCCAATTTTAATTAAGGGCACAAGAGCTAATTATATTCCCTGGCAGAGCCTCGACCTCACTGGTTTGGTTTCGCGGCTGCCCGAGATACAAGATGGCGCTGGAAAGTGGATTCGGGCCTTCGAACAGGAGACAACTGGGCTAATGCTTGCCCTTGGAGATCTCAAAGCTATTTTGGCTCGAGTTGTTGGGACATCAGCTATGGGAACATTGCTCGCATCCAATGGAGTCCAATGGATGCTGGACCCAATGGCTGACGGCACGGAGTTTAACACACACAGAAATGCACTCTGGAACATACTAAGAGCAGCATATCCCAACAGGATTGACCCCAAAGCCTTGAAAGGTGAGCCACTTTCAGAGACTGAGAGTCCTGCGTCATTTGTTGACAGGCAGCTCAGACGGTGGAAGCTGGAGACGGAGGAGGGTCCTGAGGGGACGCCAATAATGACTTCTCTGTTCCGAACATCCCTGATTTCCACTCTCCCGACTCCTGTGCGAGACAAACTGGAGGATGTGGTGGGACTGGACTCAATGCCACATGCACAGTTCAGAGACCATGTAGTCCACGCCGTGGACCGCTATCGGAAAGACAATAACAAAATGATTGAGCAAGAAAAGTGTGCTCAAAGAAAACTCACGCAGCTGCACATAAATGATCTCCAGAGCAAGGCAAAAACTCAGGCAGCAGTGGTGAAAAGTGACAGCCAAGTCCAAGCATTGCAGACAGCTGTGGCCCCGCCTCAAACTCCATCTCAACCGGTTATCAATGTCTACCCAAACCAGTATGGTAGACAGCAGCCCGGACCACAGAGACGATTTCCAAATCGTTTCCCCAATCGCTACCCAACTCGACAAGGCTGGGTGCAGCAGAATCGACCCCCACTTCCAGGTTCATGTTGGGGGTGTGGCCAGATGGGTCACCTGTATCGAGACTGTCCGAATCCAATTCCAAACCCTGAATGGTCTGGGCGTGGTCGTGGAACACGACCAAACCGGGGAAGAGGAGGTCCAGTTAATCCATGGGCAGCACAACAAGGATTCTAGGGATGCCCGGAAGGCCCTGGGGGGGAGGAGCAACTACCAATTTTAACAGCTAACGCCGATAAAGAACCAGTGATCAGTGTTAAAATAGAAGGCAAATCGGTCCCAATGTTAGTTGATACTGGGGCAACCTACTCGTGCATAAAATCAAATTATGCAACTCATCTCCCCATGTCTGAGAAAAGCGTAAAGACAACAGGGTTCTCGGGAGCAAAACAAATAAACCCCTTAACAGCTCCAGTAAAACTAGCAGTTGATGACAGTGAAATCGTAATCCCAATTCTGATTTCAGACCAAACTCCAGTTAATCTACTAGGAAGAGATGCATTGTGTAAACTAAAAACAAAAATCTGGTGCACACCAGAAGGAATTTATGTAGATAGCTCTGGAATAAACTTTCAAATGACTGCTCAGACAAAACACGCTAAGGTCTACTGGCTTGGTGACATTAACAAGCCAGTCTCCGAGATGTTTCAACAATGGGAGAAATTTATTGAAGCTCAAATTCCAGAAGCTACTGTACCGTTCAGTGACTATCACTGCACAATGACTTATGATCCATCATGCAGTAGAATCTTTGAAGAAAAATGGGACAAAGAAACAAAAGACTTGCACGTTAGGCTAGTGTCACAATACATCGTGATAGGACAGCAAGGTGCAGCTGTGAATGTGGAAGAAAACCCATTTATTGAAAAATGGCACACTGTGCCAGAATCAGCACCACACATTACCTTAATGGTAAACAAAGGCTTTGAGTCAAAAGATCTTGGACCAATGATGTTAACAGCAACTAAAACAGAGTGGCAGAAAACAGATAACCCGCTAATCTACACTACAAAAATTGCAGAAATGATTAAAATTCTCTGCGGTATCACCATGATGTCAAAACCACAGGTTGTAACAGTCGCAAACAAAAAACACATGCAGGGTGTAGCAGAATCAGAAACAGTTCAAAACGAGTTGAAAGCTGACATGCTAAAACAGATTCCAGACCAGCTATGGTCCAAACATGACACGGATGTTGGACTGGTAACATCGGCAACTCCAGTTCAAGTGGAATTGAAGCCAAATGCAAGACTGCCTTATCGACCCCAATACCCACTAAAGCCAGAAGCAGAAGAGGGTATAAATGCAACTATTGAAGGTCTAATTCAAGCAGGAGTACTAAAAGAAACCTATAGCACATGTAACACTCCAATTTTGCCAGTGCTAAAAGCAGACAAGCTCAAGTACAGACTGGTACATGATTTAAGAGCTGTAAATGAAGTGATCACTGACTTTGACGCAGACGTGCCAAATCCAAGCACATTACTGAGTAACATCGATGGGGAAGCTAAATACTTCACGGTAATTGATCTGTGTTCAGCATTTTTTAGCATCCCATTGGCCAAAGAATCACAATATCTTTTTGCATTCACGTTTCGTGGAAGACAGCTCACGTACAGAAGGCTACAACAAGGGCTAAAACACAGTCCACACATCTTTAATCAAATTTTGAAACAGAGCCTCGAAGGCATCGAGGTGAACAGCACTGTGATTCAGTATGTTGATGACCTACTGATTTGCGCACGAACAATCGATGATTGCCATCGTGACTCCATTAAAGTCCTACAGAAGTTAGCTCGGGGAGGACACAAAGCCTCCCTGACAAAGCTTCAGTACTGCCAACCACAGGTAGAGTACCTAGGGAGAGTAATCTCCCATGGGACTGTCGCCATCTCACCAGAACACGTGGAAGGTGTGAGCAAAGCTCCACAACCACAAACTGTTGGACAAATGATGACATTTCTGGAAATGACTGGTTTCAACTCCGAGTGGATTGAAAACTATGCTGAAAAAACCGCACAACTTAGGGCACTGATTAAAGATGCTGGAAGTGAGTCTTTAAAATCGACTCTAAAATGGACAAATGAAGCTAAGATAGCTTTTGAAACCATCAAACAAGACATGCAAACTGCGCCAGGTTTAGCAACACCTGACTACACAAAACCATTTTTGCTGTACGTCGCAAACAGACATGACATGTATGCCTCTGCAGTGTTAATGCAGGACACATGCAGTGGACGTCGGAAACAACCTATTGCGTACTACAGTGCAAAACTTGACAATGTGGCACAGGGATAACCCCCTTGTTATCAAGGATTGGCTGCTTTGCATTATGCTTATGAGAAAGCCTCAGTGATAACAATGGGATATCCTGTCACCATCTACACACATCACAAAATATCTGAACTAATCAACCGAGGGAAGTTTGTGTTAAACCAAGCAAGATGCCTGCAGTATATGCCACTACTGACATATCCGGACGTTGTCATAAAGAGGTGTACCACGACAAACCCTGCTAACAGTGTTCCCTTTGAGTTCGAAGGAGAACCACATTGCTGCATAGCTGAGGTATCTAGATACACTAAGCTAAGGCCTGATTTGGAATCTACTCCTTTCGATCAATCTGATGTCACCTATTTTGTTGATGGTTCATGTTTTAGAGACTACTTAGGAAACCATGCAGTGTTTGCTGTTGTGGAAAAAGTAGATGACAGATTTGAAACAGTAAAAGCTGAAAAGTGTAACCAACCCTGTTCTGCACAGCTAGCGGAACTCAAAGCCCTGACCGAAGCTTGCAAGTTGGCAAGTGGCCAGGTAGCAACTATCTACACTGACTCTGCATACGCACATGGTGTTTGTCACCTGTTTGGAAGTGTGTGGAGGCAAAGAGGTTTTAAGAAGACGGACGGTACACCCATCCTTCATGGAAAGCAGATCAACGAGCTGATCTCAGCAATGATGCTTCCATCGAAACTGGCCATTGTAAAATGCCCTGCACACCGCAAGGGTAACTGCGATGTCATCAGAGGCAACAATGCAGCAGATGAGGCGGCAAAATCTGCCTCCAGGTGTGAAGAAGCCATTTTGACATCTGTAATATCATTAGAGCCTGTAATAACACCAGAAGACATCATTTTGATTTAGGAAAAGGCAGAGAAAAGCGAGCAGCAGTGTTGGAGAAAAAGAGGTGCAACAATGGACTCAAGCGGCTTGTGGAGGTCTCATGAGGGCTTGATCGTTGCACCTGTCTCCTTGCTGACGATGCTAATCTCAGAGAGCCACGGTCCTGATCATTGTGGTCGTACAGAGGTTCTGAAAAGACTTAACAAACAAGGTTACTGGTCACCCTACCTAAAAGCCATGGTTGAGGAAGTAATAGATCAGTGTGACATTTGTGCTGAGAACAATGTAAAAAAGGGCATCACAGTCCCAGCGGGACACATTCCAGTGCCCGAAGGTCCTTTCAAACATTTGGTCATTGACTATGTTGACATGATTAAGTCTGTGCATGGGAAGCAGTACATGTTGGTGATCATTGACAGATTCAGTCGGTGGATCGAAGCCGTTCCCTCCAAAGATCTAGGTTCAGAAACAGTGGTAAAGTTTCTAGTCAGAGAAGTGATTCCTCGCTTTGGTATCCCGTCGGAAATAAGCTCGGACAATGGTCCTGCTTTTGTTGAAAAAGTCCTTAAAGGTGTGTTGCAACAACTAAGGATAAAGCAACGATTAGGATCAGTTTATCACCCCCAGAGCCAAGGGATGGTCGAGCGAGCGAATCTGACGTTGAAGTCTAAAATCTGCAAAATCTGTGCTTGTACTAACCTTAACTGGGTTGATGCATTGCCACTTGCCTTAATGAGCTATCGCATGCAAACTAACAGAAGCACGCATCTTTCACCTCATGAGGTCCTAACAGGCAGGCCAATGCCAGCTCCTCAGCTCAGAGGACCCCACAAGGGGCCTTCACTGGAGCAGCTAGAGCTGGAATTCAAAAGCTATATCAAGCAACTAACCAGCATCCATAAAGCCATCTATTTGCAGGAAAAGAGAAAGGAGCTCGTCTCTAGCGCAGGCGCAGACGGGCCAGTAGTTCCTGGAGACCAGGTGTACATCAAAGTTTTCAGGAGGAAGTGGCACGAACCGCGGCGAGAGGGTCCCTACAAAGTGGTTCGAGCAACACCAACGGCAGTCCAGGTCGAAGGAGGATCGACGTGGCATCATCTGACACACTGCACGAAAGTCAAAGACAAAACTCAGGGCAGTATTGTGTCTGACGTAACAAACCGGCATGATGGCCGAGGAAAAGAAGGGCGTGCTAAGCCTGATAACAGTTCTGTTTTGGATGACACTAGGGGGTCTGATGGTGGTGCTGGAGGAGGTGAAGATGGAGACGATGGCCGAGGAGCAGATCGTCGACCCATCACAAGAGCATACGCCAGACGACTTGGTCAACGACGAGGCAGCACACCGTGATCAAGTTAAGTACAATCCAGCAGGCCGGATGCAACATAGGTCAGCATCCTTGCCTGCATTCGACGTAGCAGTTGTTAAAACTGGTGTTACAACCATGATTCCAAATAATGTTTTGACCACAATTAAGGTAAATAAAATCCCTGACAGTGTGACCACAGTTCCAAATAATGTTTTAACTACTAGCGCTACTACTACTACTACTGTAATCCCTGATGTTTTGACTACCACAGCTCCTGTTGAAGAGGGGAGGTCCGACTGGAGCTCTTCCTCTCACTTACAGCTAGTGACTCCACTGATTTTAAGACCTGAAACAACGCCAGTTAGCAAGTTAAGAAGTGTAACTACTAAGCCACCTGTTAGTACTACAACTCCCACAGGAGATGTAGCTGTGAAATCTGATTTTCCCACAGAAGCCTCTGGTATTAACCAAGTTTGTAATCTTACTCAGCAAGGCCAAAATGAACAAGAAGTGACCAATCGCAAAGCTGTGCCTAAGCCACTATTTGGGCCGATTAGACCTAGGCCCAGGAGTAACACAGGACCTATCTCCCCTAGAGCGGGCAGACCATTGCCGATAGAGGATAGGCTTTGGGATGCCGCCATGCAAAATAGTTGGTATAAATGGGCTTTGTATACGACGAGAGAAATGACTCCTAATGACTGCATAGTGTGCGCTCAAGCACCCGGAATGTTACCTGAGGTTGTTCCAGAAAAATATACTTCTAGTGAATGTGCCATTACACAACGACACACTTGTAAGACTAGAAAGGAAATAGAGATAAATAAAAAGATTCCACCTATTCTTAAGTTGCCATTGTGTGGATTCCAATGCAGATTGCTCCATGGTACACGAGATAAGCACAAATATGTTAAAAAATATGCAGAATATAACATCTTAGAGGAATGTGCTGAATTTGCGATCCAAACAGACCAAAATGGTCCTCCAACGGACTACAAAATTGATTATAGTGCTGATTATGAATGTTTTGCAAGTGGAGGTTTCGCTGACAATGGAGGAGTGGACGTAGGTAATACATCTGTCAACTGTAACGTCACTTGGGTATTATCCTGGTTCCCGCATGCAAATATGACGCCACTTCTCATTGATCCCCCTGTTTGGTATGAAAACCCTGTAACTCTTAGTCAGGACTGTGATAACATATCGATGACGATCCCCACTCTGGATCTCATAGGTGAGCAAGACATTCCAGTGGCCGACAGCTACTGGATGTGTGGTGGTGATGTTTTAATGAATGTTTTGCCAAGTTTTTTGGGTTGGGTTGTGTACGCTAGTACGTATGAAAGTTCCAGTGACTATCTTACATGAAGGTGTGAGTGAATTACTTCAGGTGGAGACTACCAATAGACGTAGGACAAAGAGGTATGATGTGTTTGATCATAAAGTGCATTTAAACGCCATAGGACTGCCAACAGGAATTCCCATAGAATTTTAAGCAAGAGATGAGGTAGTAGCTGGTTTAGAGTCAATTCTTCCTTGGATAACAATAAATAATAATGTGAAATGGATCAACTATGTTTATTTTAATCAGCAAAGAATCTTAAATTACACAGTAAATAACCTTGGCCTCTTGGGTGAACAACTTCATGCCACAGTCAAGATGACTTTGCAGCATGACCAGGCTTTGGACTGGTTGCTGGCCGAGAAAGGTGGGCTCTGTAAATTTCTGAACTCCAGTGGGCAAGAATGTTGCACCTACATTCCAAGTAATACGGCCCCTGATGGTGCATTTACTGAAGGAATGAGGAAATTGAAAGATTTAAAGATAGAGCTGAGGGAGAATGCAGGCAGGGAAAGCTGGTCCTTAGACTCCTTAGCCCTCAAATTGGGTCAGTGGGGAGCTATTTTGGTAAAAGCAGGAATTAGTGCAATAGTAGTACTAATTCTGATTTCTCTATTGGCATGTTGCATCCTACCTGTTGTGAGGAGACTGTGGGAGCGAACTCTGGCTGCCCAAATGAACCTTGCTGCGTCGTCTCAATACGTGCAAATGGAAATGGCCGCAATGGACTCAGCACGACACCCAATGTGCCTGAAGAACGGGACGGCTGATGAGATGGCGGTGGAGTAAGCTTTGCGTCTCATCAGAGATGTTGTTGTTGTGGTTACATGCACTCGACTAAGGAATCGGCCTCGAAGTCCTCTTCCAGCGACAAGACCCCTGCAGCAGTCATCAATGAAACTGAACTTGACTCTTGTGTTTTCTTCACTCCGTTTCTTTTTTTTCCAGCTCTGCAACTGAGACTCTGACTCCGTTCTCTATTTCGGTTGAGCAGTTGTGTTGTTACATCTAGTATATTCGTATATTCATTACATTTACTGTTGTGTTTAACTTTTTATAGGTTTAGTCACATCAACATCTCCTAGTTGTTCATTCGTATCCACGTCAATCATTTATTTCATATGAGTTTGTATTTTTGATTGCATATTCACGTACAGTTACTGGTTGCAATGTTGCTAAGGGTAATTAATGCACGATCGTACTCATGATTTTTTTTTCTCTGTTGGAAGGTATCATCACTTCATTTTCTCTTATGTGTGTTCTTTTGTTAATTCAATGTTACCTAATGTCTGCCATATACTTAGGCTAGACTTGTATGCTCACTCTGTGCGTTACGTGATCGTCCTGTTTGGGGCAGGAGGTCAAGGGGGAATTTTCCTGTTAAGAACAGCGGACAGGTTTTTCGCCCTCTTACAGTGTGCGCATGCATTTTTGATGTATTGCTGGGGTGGTTAAAGACGTCACATTCCATGTTGTGTCTTGCAGCTGATACTTACTTTGCAGTTACTTCGTCGTTACATTTATATCTATATAGTTTGGCGGAAGACTGCAGTATATTAGTCATTTTGTCATTTAACACCCATTTACTGGTCTATGTTAACATTCATTTATGTGTTATGTTATTTGTTATGTAGCCAGCTTGTTTATGGGGGTGGACACCCCCATGGGGGGGATCTTCTGTTCAACACAGTATGTGTCCTAAAAATGTATAAATAATATCATACTACAGTATGTGTCCTAAAAATGTATAAACAATATCATACTAAGGTATGTGTCCTAAAAATGTATAAATAATATCATACTAAGGTATGTGTCCTAAAAATGTATAAATAATATCATACTATATTATGTGTCCTAAAAATGTATAAATAATATCATACTAAGGTATGTGTCCTAAAAATGTATAAATAATATCAAACTTTAGTATGTGTCCTAAAAATGTATAAATAATATCATACTTTAGTATGTGTCCAAAAAATGTAAAAATAATATCATACTATAGTATGTGTCCTCAAAATTTATAAATAATATCATACTATAGTATGTGTCCTAAAAAATGTAAAAATAATTGCATACTATAGTATGTGTTCTAAAAATGTATAAATAATGTCATACTACAGTATCTGTCCTAAAAATGTACAAATAATATCTTACTAAGGTATGTGTCCTAAAAATGTATAAATAATATCATACTATAGTATGTGTCCTAAAAATGTATAAACAATATCATACTTTAGTATGTGTCCAAAAAAGAGTAAAAATAATATCATAATATAGTATGTGTCCTAAAAATGTATAAATAATATCATACTATAGTATTTGTCCTAAAAATTTATAAATAATATAATACTAAGGTATGTGTCCTAAAAATGTATAAATAATATCATACTAAGGTATGTGTCCTAAAGATGTATAAATAATATCATACTATATTATGTGTCCTTAAAATCTATAAATAATATCATACTTTAGTATGTGTCCAAAAAATGTAAAAATAATATCATACTATAGTATGTGTCCTAAAAATGTATAAATTATTTAATACTATAGTATGTGTCCTAAAAATATAAAAATAAATGCATACTATAGTATGTGTCCTAAAAATGTATAAATAATATCATACTACAGTATGTGTCCTAAAAATGTATAAATAATATCATACTATAGTATGTGTCCTAAAAATGTATAAATAATATCATACTATAGTATGTGTCCTTAAAAATGTCAAAATAATTGCATACTATAGTATGTGTCCTAAAAATGTATAAATAATATCATACTTCAGTATGTGTCCTAAAAATGTATAAATAATATCATACTAAGGTATGTGTCCTAAAAATTTATAAATAATATCATACTATAGTATGTGTCCTAAAAATGTATAAATAATGTCATACTTTAGTATGTGTCCAAAAAATGTAAAAATAATATCATAATATAGTATGTGTCCTAAAAATGTATAAATAATATCATACTATAGTATTTGTCCTAAAAATGTATAAATAATATAATACTAATGTATGTGTCCTAAAAATGTATAAATAATATCATACTAAGGTATGTGTCCTAAAGATGTATAAATAATATCATACTATATTATGTGTCCTTAAAATCTATAAATAATATCATACTTTAGTATGTGTCCAAAAAATGTAAAAATAATATCATACTATAGTATGTGTCCTAAAAATGTATAAATTATTTAATACTATAGTATGTGTCCTAAAAATGTAAAAATAAATGCATACTATAGTATGTGTCCTAAAAATGTATAAATAATATCATACTACAGTATATGTCCTAAAAATGTATAAATAATATCATACTATAGTATGTGTCCTAAAAATGTATAAATAATATCATACTATAGAATGTGTCCAAAAAATGTAAAAATAATTGCATACTATAGTATGTGTCCTAAAAATGTAGAAATAATATCATACTTCAGTATGTGTCCTAAAAATGTATAAATAATATCATACTAAGGTATGTGTCCTAAAAATTTATAAATAATATCATACTATAGTATGTGTCCTAAAAATGTATAAATAATGTCATACTTTAGTATGTGTCCAAAAAATGTAAAAATAATATCATAATATAGTATGTGTCCTAAAAATGTATAAATAATATCATACTATAATATGTGTCCTAAAAAATGTAAAAATAATTGCATACTATAGTATTTGTCCTAAAAATGTATAAATAATAAAATACTAAGGTATGTGTCCTAAAAATGTATAAATTATTTAATATTATAGTATGTGTCCTAAAAATGTAAAAATAAATGCATACTATAGTATGTGTCCTAAAAATGTATAAATAATATCAAACTATAGTATGTGTCCTAAAAATGTATAAATAATATCATACTTTAGTATGTGTCCAAAAAATGTAAAAATAATATCATACTATAGTATGTGTCCTCAAAATTTATAAATAATATCATACTATAGTATGTGTCCTAAAAAATGTAAAAATAATTGCATACTATAGTATGTGTCCTAAAAATGTATAAATAATGTCATACTACAGTATGTGTCCTAAAAATGTATAAATAATATCATACTAAGGTATGTGTCCTAAAAATGTATAAATAATATCATACTATAGTATGTGTCCTAAAAATGTATAAACAATATCATACTTTAGTATGTGTCCAAAAAGTGTAAAAATAATATCATACTATAGTATGTGTCCTAAAAATGTATAAATAATATCATACTATAGTATTTGTCCTAAAAATGTATAAATAATATAATACTAAGGTATGTGTCCTAAAAATGTATAAATAATATCATACTAAGGTATCTGTCCTAAAGATGTATAAATAATATCATACTATATTATGTGTCCTTAAAATCTATAAATAATATCATACTTTAGTATGTGTCCAAAAAATGTAAAAATAATATCATACTATAGTATGTGTCCTAAAAATGTATAAATTATTTAATACTATAGTATGTGTCCTAAAAATGTAAAAATAATTGCATACTATAGTATGTGTCCTAAAAATGTATAAATAATATCATACTACAGTATGTGTCCTAAAAATGTATAAATAATATCATACTATAGTATGTGTCCTAAAAAATGTAAAAATAATTGCATACTATAGGATGTGTCCTAAAAATGTATAAATAATATCATACTTCAGTATGTGTCCTAAAAATGTATAAATAATATCATACTAAGGTATGTGTCCTAAAAATGTATAAATAATGTCATACTTTAATATGTGTCCAAAAAATGTAAAAATAATATCATACTATAGTATGTGTCCTAAAAATGTATAAATAATATCATACTATAATATGTGTCCTAAAAAATGTAAAAATAATTGCATACTATAGTATTTGTCCTAAAAATGTATAAATAATAAAATACTAAGGTATGTGTCCTAAAAATGTATAAATTATTTAATATTGTAGTATGTGTCCTAAAAATGTAAAAATAATTGCATACTATAGTATGTGTCCTAAAAATGTATAAATAATATGTTACTACAGTATGTGTCCTAAAATATATAAATAATATC